AAGCAGTGGTATTAATTTGTATTCGTTGGCGCGACAGTGAGCGGAGAGACACATGACGGCATACACACTGACAACATGATCTTGAATGACTCTTTGCATAAACAAACGAGTGATGAGTGAGAGAGCTGGAGCAAGCAAACAAGCTGCCTGCTTTGCGCTTTTCTTCCCAGAGCTTCACGTCATTCATCGCCCTCCACAGAATATGGGAGCAAGGGCCGTGCTTCCGTGCCTCCGCAGGCTGATCGATTGGAGACGCCAAAAACCTCTGCTCACTTCGTTTCTCTTGCCCGAATATTTGGACTGCATTGGTGTCTCCGTCCGTCACACTTTCGCACACGAAAAGACACAGACAGGAAAACACATCGGCCTCACGGCACAAAGGTACGAACACGGATGGTCTATCCGACACACAAAGTACATCAGACACAAGACTGGGCACCCAACAGACAGACAGAGATCTGTGTGTGCACGCAGGCGTGACAAGACGTGCACTCACACATCAGAGGTCACAAGGCGTGACCTCCGAACCTCTAAAGCACCAAACGAGCACACTGCACGACGCCCTCCCCTATCAGCACACATGGATGGATGGTACGGATAAAGGTCTTTCCCCTGCCGGCCTGTTTGAGCCGTGCAGGTGGAAGGAGCAAGAAAAAGAGGCAGCAGGGTAGCATCGACAAGGAGACAGACAACCACACACACACACAGAGAGAGAGAGAGAGACACATACACACGGACCCCGCTTTACACACGAAGCTATGCAGTGGTATGGGTGGCAGGAGAACCACATGGGTGCATGTCTGGCCTGCGAGTGTTGGGAGGCAAGTCGCGTCAAGTCACAGGCATGCAGGCTGTGCACAGCGGCTGCTCTCGTACGAACACTCTGGGTCCCACTTCAAAAATTGCACCCAGGACACACTCACACTCACACTCACACACACTCACACACACTCACATACACCAACAAATTGCCACGAACGCTTAAAAGTGCACGAAGAACACGGGGGCGGAAAAAAAGAAAAGAGAGGCAAAAGGTGGACAAGGAATTTACTGACGAGTAAATCACGTATCGCCGCCACGACTAGCGCTAGAAAAAGACCATGCCGAGATATCTCAGTATTGGCCAAGAAATGTGTTCTTCTGCTCAGGAGTCACGGGAATCGTGACTACAACACACACCCAACGAAGTCATTCTCCTTCCTGTCTCCCCCTCTCAGGCTTGCTGCGCAGCTTAAATGTGATTTCGGTGTCCTTGCCCTCGATCTCTCCATTCAACGGCGTCGCTGCGAGTGTGAACATGCCCGGCGAGCCGATGGCCTCACTCGCGCCCTTAGTAAAATGAGCTTGCAGAGCCATCGCCTCCGATCCAGCGGGCGGCTCGCTGTTGCCGAAGGCCGTGAATGCTCCTCCCTTGGCGCCCTGGGTGGCCCTCTCGAGATAGGGAGGATCTCGTGTGCTGAGCAGCAAGGCCATCAATTGTGCGTGTGAGGACGTGTGGGTGTATGTGTATGTGGCCTTACGTGTCCCAATCCATGAAGTTTCCCTTAATACACACCACACACACACAGCAGACCAGAGCAAACACGTATCAATCAAGTACGATTCATAAGTGTCTCTGCCCACTTGGTAGTCAAAGAGGAGGAACTGGACGGCTGTGACGCAGGCCGACTCGGGGACGGCCGTGAAGGTGAAGTGCATACCCATCTCAGCGGGTACCACAAAGTCAGTCGTGCCGTCTTCTATCACCTTGGCGCTGCCCTCGGACTGCCCTCTGTTCAGGTCCACCAGCTGGAAGTCGGCAAGTGACGGAGTGACACCTGCAGACAGAGAGCGGCCACACGGGGAGAGACAGGAGACGACTAGATTGCATGTAAGTGCGAACCCTGACCTGTGCAATCCTGAGCTGTGTTTGCAATCGGGAGCGACACACATCAACGCACAACGTGAATGGCTGCCATCGATCTCATTTGCCCTGTGCTTTCACCTTTACCTTCGCTTGTTGACGCACCCTCCTCTTCCTGCTTCAACGTCACGACGATGTGCTCGAGTACCTTCCCTGGCACGCCATTAAAAGGGGGAAGACGTTGGAAGACGTGGGAAGTGTATGTACAGCGAGGGGTGCTCGGTTACCTCTTTCTGTGTCGGTGTCAGTGTCAGTGTCAGTGTCAGTGTCGGTGTTGTCTTTGCCTTTGTCAATGACAACAGTCACCTCTACGCCGTCGCCGGGTACATCCACAGGCAGGTCAGCTGGACCAACGTCCACCGCCGCTGGCGTCGGCTCCTGCGCTTCCCATTCGTCTGCCGCGACGGCAACTTCGGTGTACGTGTGTTTGGGCCAGCCAAAGTGCTTTGTATTCCTTGTCTGTCACGGTAGGGAAGTTGAAGAGAGCCGCTGACATGTGACACCACCAGCTACACCAAACATAAGCAGTCCAAATAAATGTGCATCGCATTCTGCGCAGCTCACCTGATCTACAGGCACTTCCCGCTGCTTTGGCGCTGGTCCGGCCCCTGACGTGCACACGATTCCCCTGAGGCTCGAGCTCAGCCATCCCCGCGAACTCACATACACGCCGACAAAGGAGGAAATGAGGAAGACGCCCAGGAACGCCGCGGCGAAAAGCAAGGCAAAACGAGAAGCAGTCGCCTGGGCCTGCATATCCGGGCACGAGTCAAATGTGTGAAAGAACTTACAGAGGCGGCACAGGGGAGCCAATCGATGGCAGTGAGAGAGTGGCAATGATGACCGTCATTGGCAACGTGCGGCTGCTCGGTGCCCGTACAGCTGTTGTAAATTCACTCATCGGACCTATGCCTTCCTCTTGTGTGTCTTTTCTCTTGCTTACTGCTCTTTTTTGTGCAGCCGGATCACAACCCGAGGGAGAGGGAAGGTTCCTAATTCCGTCCAATGCGTCGTTGGCGCCGGCCTCTCTTGATCGGAGGCGGTTCATCGTGGAGGGGGCTGTGCGTCCGTACGGCGGCGGGCAGCTCGAGTATATGCATCCCCGGCCAGGGGCGCTGCACGTGTCGGAGCTGACGTCAATTGCGGTCAGGTGAGATGTGCAGCAAAGATGAGACACTCGCCGATGTGTCTGTGTATGTCCCGTCAGGGAGGGCGATTTGGTCATCCCCACTGATCTCGACACACTCTTTGATGTGGAGGGCCGGCAGAGCGGCAAGGTGGATGGCCGCGTCGTCCTTGCACGCGACAACAAGACGGTGCTCTTCTATCCTGACAAGCCATTCGTCCCTGGCGACAACGTCACAGTCCAGCTGCGGCCCGGCCTCCGAGTGCGGCGCTCTGACAACGGCAGAGAGGAGGAGGCGGGCGGACACGAATGGCAATTTCACATCAGAGGCAAGACCGAGTCGATCAGCGAAGAAGAGATTTGGTCGCTCATGTATGGTAGACAGCTGAACGAGAGTGAGCAGGAGGCCGACAAGAAGCCGTCGCCGATGGACCGCTACCGCACGCTGCCGACGTGGTCAGCCAAGTGGAGGCCGTCAGCCGAGGGGGAGAAGGCGGCCTTGGAGGGGAGGAAAGCAGACATTGGCACGGGGGACGAGGAGCTCTATTTCTTTGGCGTCCGCGGGCGAGCTGGCGAAAGCCTGATCGCTACACGTCAGGTACAGTCATGCAAAAGACGGTGGCCAGCGCATGTCTTCATTCATCGTGTTCATCTAGGGCGACTTAGTGTGGTGGACCTCAGAAGGCAAATTAGGAGGCGGCATGTTTGGCGTCACGCCGAATGGCCATCTGGCACACTGGGACCAGTTATTGAACGACACTGCCGACACAGTCTATCTTTTGAACGCCACATATCAAGTGGTCGACAGATATGTAATGGGTACGTGTGTAATTGATTACGGACCAGCCTGTCCGTCTCTTTTTTTCTGAACGCACATCATGTGTTTAAACAGGTCACGGCTATCAAGTCGACCGTCACTCAATTACTTTTGATAACGACAACTCAGTAGTGACGGCTTACACCAGGATCAACGCGCTCAACCGCACAATACACACCGGTAAGTCGAACAGGCAAAAGGGTGTTTTGACCACTCATTCCCTTGTGGCCGCAGTGGTTCAGGTTCAAGATGCAGACAAGTAGGCGCCCGTTTTGCGTATGGCCGTGTACAAAGCAGTCGGCTCCGTGCGGCCCGTCAGGAACGTGTTGATGGAATGGCGAACCGTCGACGATTTCAGAGGCGGAGCCGACCCGATGCTGCCGGATGCACCATGGGATGGAGGGGACGTACAAATGCTTTGGAAAGCTGGGTACGTGTTTTCCTCTCAACGTGTATGTTTCTCAGGTGTATCACACGAACAACGCCGAGCGGACGCCTGACGGTAAGCAACGTTGGACACTGGCAAACACATTGCCCGAATGCATCCTGCTCCAGGCAATGTGATCGTCTCCGTGCACAATGCCAATTTACTTGTGCTACTGAGCGGCAAGACGGGCCAGATCCTGTGGCGCATGGGGGGCCACACGAGGTACGTCAATGAAGCCGCCTGTGTTGTGCAGCGCCTGTCTGCGTCTGCCATGCAGTGACTTCACTTTCATCGGCGAAGACATGGATCCCCCATTCGTTGGCCAACACCATGCACAGCAACTAGCGGACGGCAACATCCTCATGTCAGCGACATGGCAAAGATAGGCAGAAAAGCCAGTCCTCTGTGGACGATGCCCATATGCGGCATGTAGGTATGACAATGGGAGTCGAAGTGGCATGCGGGCAGGGAGACCCTCGCGAGCACTCGAGCTGAGTCTTGACCTGAACAAGATGACGGCCACGAAAGTCTGGTCCTTTCCGCATCCGAACAAGTATGAAGTCCACCCGCGGCAGAATAGGTGACGCGTCTCGTCGTGTGTGAGCAGAAAGACCAGCACGTGCTGCGGAGGGGTCCAGAAGGTTGACAACGGAGAGTAAGCGATTGGACACTGTCGTCAGTGCGTAGAATGCGCATTCTGTCTTTGTGTCAGGGGCAACCCCCCGACCATGCTGATAGGTTGGGGCTCCACTGGTCCATTCTTCACTGAGGTGACTTACGACGACAACCCGACGATAATTCGCGAGTTCGAAGGCTTTCGAGGCCATCGTCCACTGCTGCACAGCTGGGAGGGCTTCTCAACGGAGCGGCCGCGGCTTCTCCTCTGCAGCGACGCCAACACGCAGGCGAGTGGCGGCCAGCCGTCGATCGCCCGGCTGCAGGACTGGACCATGCACTTCTCATTCAATGGCGTCACAGGTAGGCACGCAGAGACACTACACGCAGGCAGTGATCGATGGCCTTCTGTGTAGGGATCAGCAAGTGGCGGCTGTACATCGGCGCTGACAGTGATGTGCCGCTCAGCCGGCACCTGATGGAGCGCAGCAAGACCGCCTTCGAGGAGATCGTCACACTGCAGGAGCTGGTCGACACCATGGCGGCCCGGAATATGACTTTGACGACAAAAAGCGACGCCAACGTGACCGACGTGGCCTTGTATGTGCGGGTGGTGCCGGTCAAGGGCGACAGTGAGCTGCTCAGGCCATCCAAGGCACTCAAGGGTATGACGGCCACATGAAATGTAACACAGACCATGCTGGGTGTCTCTGCGTGTCTGTTGGGTGCAATCAGTGCCGCTGGTTGTGTCGTCTCGTGACGAGGAGAGTGGTGCTGTGAGTGTGTCCCCTCCCCTCTCTGCAGTGCCCTGCCGCTGCTACCAGCCCGACATCGGCCTGAGGGAGCACCTGGGCAGACCAAAGCCGGAGCGGGAGAGCCCCGTTGTGGACATGGCGGCCATCCGTGAGTGCGCCGGGGCATGTGCCGACAGCGACAAGTGCAAGACATTCTTCTTCTTCGAAGACACCGGCGAGTGTGAAATGGACGAGAAGAAGCATGAGAGCCATCAAGAGCTGCACTCGCTTGGCGGGGTCGTCTCTGGGCTGTCAGCGTGCGTACAAGAAGAACTGGCCTGACATCTTGAGAAAGGCCGGCAATTGGGGTCCGGGCTTTTTGTTGTCGACGTTTTTTGGCATTTGACGTGTGTGGATTTCAGAACTGCTGAGTGGAGAAAGTTCGTTCAGCAACTGAGCTGCCCTAGTGTCACCAGCTGACCTGGGGAGGGGCACAGAGGGAGGAAGACAATGACGGGTGTTGTTGGTCCCCTTTGCATCGTGACGGTAACGTCATGCCTGCCTGCCTGTCTGCCTGCCTGTCTGCCTGCCTGTCTGCATGGGAAGCGTTGTTTTTCGTCTTCCTTGTGTGCCGACACTTTGGGTCTGCAAGGCGGGAGTTGAGGAGAGGAAGAGAGAATGAGGAGTCTCTATTCGAGAGCATGCAATGCCATGCCATGCGATGAAGCGACACGCCAATGCTGGACGTGACGCGCACATTCTGATGAGTGCTACGCGTGTCTCCCTCCCTCTCGTCTCCGCTTTATGGCCCTCCGCTTCTGTGTGAGCTGAAGTGTGTATGTTTGTTCTCCCTCGTGCCTCGTGTGGGAATTGGAAGGCTTGTCTGTCTGCTCGTGAGACATTTGCGGGACCGCATCACTTTGATAATTAAATGAAGAGGGTCAACCGCTGGCGGCTGCCGACTGACGTCTCTTTGTCTCTTCACAGTCGAGCATGCTCGGTCTACCTCAATATCAACACCTTTTCATCACTCGTGGCACACATCGACGTGCCATCCACCACAAAGCCACCTCAGACGTGCCTCCCCTTGCCCTTCTGAGTGGCTTTTCGCCCTTGCTTATGATTTGCATAAACTCAGACAACCAATCATGTCTACCGAGAAGTCAGACTGAGAGCCACCCAACCGCACGAGACACGTCAATGCTGCGCACACCGATTATATACTTCCCCCTTTCGGGGCTATACATGAGAAAAGGGACACATCTGGTCACCTCAAATGGCTCATGACTATATGTATGCATTCAAGCATGAAGACCCAGGAGAACGGCACACGACACGGAGATTGAGAACACTACACCACCACAGCCGCATGCCCAGTAAGAGGTGCTGTTCATGGGCCGGGCGATAGTATCATCTCCTTGTAAAAGCTCTGGACTTCCTCACTATCGAAGCTGGCCCCTTCCTTCTTCTTCAGCCATCCCATCTTCTCGGCTTCCTGAACCAATTCGAAGGTGTTGGGCAGTTGCTCGGCAATTCGCTTCTTGAATCGGTCGAAATCGTGGACAAGGAGCTGAACGACGTAATCAAGACCACAAAAGAGAAGAAAACAGATCGGCTAAATGTATCTGCCCGGCTCTTTCCCTGTGCGCTCACCTTCGACTTGCTGTCCGTGTACTTGAGGGCGTACATCAGGCACGCCAGCCGATATCGGCCGTCAATCAGCACGAGATCGTAGTAGGTCACATTTCGAAGGTTCGCCAACGTGTCCATCACTTCAATGTATGGCCCACGAAAGGCCTTTACGGCCTCTGACGGCTTGTCAGTGGGGTAGGAGAGGCGTTTCGTAGGAGCGTATCTGATCATTCATCAATCCATCCATCCATCCGTGAGCTTCCGTGCGTGACAGCAGCGGCGTTGTTTTGGCTCACCTATTGGCACACAGAAAAAACAGCTTTTCTGCCCTCCTGAGCACCTTCATTGCCTCTCCAGCGTTTTGCTGCATGCCGTCGCACCAGCCAGCCGAGGCCTCGATGGAGTAGAGCGTCTGGACCCGCGGAGAAATAAGGAATGTGCTTCCTCCGCTGCCCCACTCTAGCGCCACCACATCGGACGACAGAAGACTCTCCACCAGCGCGGCCTCCTTTTCGTGCATCTGGCGAAAGCAAACACAGACCGAGGACAGGCAGAGCGGTGATAGAAAGGGTAGTCTCTCATCTCTACCATGACGGGCAAAGGCGGACTCTCACTGATGGCGGCCACGGCATCGTCACCTCCACTGCCCTGCTCCTCTGAGTATCCTGCCGTCGCATTGCAGAGCGATGCCGCTTCGGCGCCTCTGAATTTCTGTAGGCTGTTCCGCAGGCCAAAGTGAAGCTCGAGCAGGAAGACGCACAGGCCGGTAAGGAGGATGAGGCCAGTGGTTTTCAGCACTTGGACACGTGCGGACAGAGGTTGTGCAGCTGAGTCCATGCCGACACAGGCAAGTCCCTCAACGGATGTGTACAGCGTGCGTAAATTTCCTTGTACCAGCTCCAACTATCTGTGCGTCCGTTTATGTATATGTAGGGGGGACAGAGGAAGAAAGCAATGGCGATCCTGTCGAGCGACTCGAGCGCCGCGAGGCCCCTCATCCTCATTCCTCTCGTGGCGACTTTCGTTATCGGTATTGTTTTCGGAAGTTTTTCTTCCCACCTGCTGCTGCTGTCTCGCCCTGATGGCTTCGCCCACAGCATTCTGGCAGGCTATCCCAGCTCTCTGCACAAGTCTGTCTTTCGGGAAGTGATCACAGCAGGACAAGGCGAAGAGAACCGCTTCGCTGATTTGGAGGCCATGGAGAGTCGGCTGGAGGTCCCGTTTTACATCTACGAGACGCCGACGCTGAAACAGATATACAACAGATGTCAGGGGCCCGCGAGGACAATCCTGGATGGCAACTGGCCAGAGGGCCTGTCTTCAAAGGTCAAACACAAGTCGGGTAAGGAACGACGCATCAGCGAATATAACAGAACTTGGTCTCTTACTGTTTCTGCAAGGTGAGATCTTCTGGCTTAGCCAGCTGTGGAACGACACATGGCGCACATATGATCCTGAGAAGGCGCTTGTTTTTGTCCTTCCCATCTATCCAGGTACGTGTCGCACAAAAATGGACGAGAGAATGCCATCCGATTCACTTGGTGCATTGCAGTCCTTTTGCTCGAAGAGGCGTGTGAAGGCATTACCAAAGAGATGAGTCGTGCACTGGTTTCTCAAGCTGTCAATGAAGTAAGCAGGGGCAGGCACATGAGGCACATGTGACATCATGGGCAGCGCTAAGACTCTGGTGTCACATGCAGATCACAGCGCTGCCCTACTTTCATAGGTACCCGGTGGCGAAAGAGGGGGACGAGGGTCTGAGTGTCCTTATCTGTATATGCAGGCACGGCGGCTTGGATCATGTAGCTTTGGTGCGTACGCTGAAAAGCCGCCACTGCACACGCTTGATGTATGATGTATGAGTCTCTCTGTTGTTGCTTCTCGTTCAGTCGAACGACTTTCGGCACAAAATGTCATGGTTCATTAAACAGGGGCTGGGAATGCCGTTCTACAGGTAGTCCCTCACTCACGTGGACGAGACTTGGGTACACGCATTTACATACAGTCTGTCGCTGCATATAGATTCGTGGGGAACATCACTTTTGTGGCTCAGCTCGCAGAGCAGCGTAAGTGAGACGAGGGAAATGAAAATGTACGTGGAAACGTCTCTTCCTCTGTGCAGATCATCCGCACTGGGGATGTGCTGTCGCTGCACCATTCACGTAAGCAGACAGACGAGTCCCCCTCGGCACCGGTGCTGCTAGAGCTGTCTGCGTGTGAGCTTGTGTGCAGCTCGGCAATGACATTCATTCAAAGGGCATACGAACCGTTCGAAAAGGAGACCTTGCTAGAGCGCGGCTTCATCGAGCCTGACGATGTCTTTGAGGACGACCGGCTGGACAGCGCATTTGATCCACCCTCACGGCGCGACTGGTTCGCGAGAGATTACACTATGTTTTTCCAAGGTGGGATTGAAGAAGACACAATCAGTTCCTCTTACCCCGTTTTGTCTTGGCTTTCATTGACGTAGGGCAAGTGGACCCTCGTGGTGGATATCTCCTTCGCCGGCTGGGGATGCAGCACCTCGTCGGCTGGCGACTCAGACCCAACACGAGCTCCAACGTCTTCGTCACTTCGTCTGATGCATCACGGAAGTACACAGTGCTGGACGCTGACGGCAAAGAGAGGGAGGAAACACTCCCTAAGTGCCCACGCAGGAGTGGTGTGAACAAGGAAGCCTTTGGTGTGAAGATGGGCAAATTCGAGCGGTGCAATGGACGGTCCCCTCCGACAAAGCGGCAGACCGAGCCCGTGTTCTTCCAGACGGCCACATTTCTACATCGGCTGAGCAACTCGAAGCTGAATCTTTGCTTTCGCGGCGATGACGTGACCAGCAACCGATACGTCGATGGTGTGTGGACGCAGACTCTCAACGTGCTTATCACAGACGTCGAAAAAGTCTACAGGTACATAGCCCTGCGTGTTTGTGTTTGCATCGGCCATGTGTGCCTTCATGCTACTTTATCCAATTCAGGTGGTCAATGCCGTTCCAGTGCGAGGTGCCCTGGAGGTGACGGACAGAGAGAGAGGAAGAAGAGAGACGGAGCATGTTTGTTTTGTGTGCATTTGTATGCCGTACAGGAATTTCACGTATGCAATTAACGGCTCTGTCTTCGAAAAGGACCCGCGAGCAGCGCTGCGGCCCATTCTGGAGGAGTTGCACGACGATCCCGCAGCGATAAGGGAGAAGCTGCGACTGATGGAGTACCACAGTCGAAAGGTCCTGTGGGACGCGCCGAACAGTACAACAGCAAGGAGTGTGCTTCGCGCGATGACACGGCAGTGTCTCACCGACGAAATGAAAGTCGACTTCGTACGAAGAACATACGGACATGGTACTACGGAGACGCAAAGATCATGACCCTACCCATGAACTCACTGCATCATCTGTCTGTCTTGGTTGCTTCAGATGCGAGTGTTGCTCGCGATCATCCACTGTTCTCGCCCTGTGCCTTTCTCGACACAGCATCGACATCTGCGTTAAAGCACCCAGAGTGATGTAAGGGCTCAACCAGCCATTTCCAGTGTCGCATGTGTGTGTCAGCTTAGAGTTTGCTAGTCCGTCTCTCTCTCTCTCTCTCTGTGTGTGTGTGTGTGTGTGTTAGTTATGATGATGGATGTATGGATCCATCGATGATGGATGTATGGATCCATCCATCCATCCATCCATTCACGTTTGGTGCAATTTTCGTCTCACACCAAAGTTTCGATGGTGTTTGTGTTGGTTTTGTCTGTTGGGTCACGGTCGGCTTACTGGTGACTATTGGATGGATGAGTGAATGGACAAGTGTCTGCATGAGTGGCTGACGACACGTCTGTCTGTCTCCCGAAGTGTCTGCCTGCCTGCCTGCCTGCCAACCTGACTGCCTGTGTGTGCGTGTGAGTCTGTGAGCGTGAGAGTGTGTGTGTATGTTGTCATCGATGTATGGACGGCTGCACTGACATGCACTGACATGCACTGACATCAAGTGGTGGATCAAATGGAAACTGATTCGACACGCATCCATCCATCTGTCTCGACACGTATCCGCGCGAAGGCAACCGGAAGACACCAAGCGTGACCTGTGACCTTACAGGTGAAGGCAACTGAAAAACAGCATGCCTAGGCAGAGGGGGGCTTGAAAAGCGGCCTTGTGGCTATCAGTAGCTAGTGCTGAGTGACGCTTCAGAAGCGTCCTGATATATAGACAGATGATTGTCTGTTCGTTCCGCTTCTATACTGGTTGTCGTTGTACGTGTGTGTATTCGATCTTGTCTTGCTTCGATCCCACATTAATTGAATTGGTAGACATGCGTACATATGTAGACACACACAAGCAAGTATTCGTATGTATACACATGGACACAGAGACATGAAGGATCGCACACAGCGTCGACATAGACTGACAGCACACGTGCGCAAACCAATATGCACGCATGATCAAGAGCTGTCTGCATACACACATCACACCGCAGGCAAAAGGGCAACAAGCGGGGCGCAGTGGTGTGCGCCCTTTGATTTTTTTGGCCGTCTGCTTGCGTTTTTTGCCCGCAGACGGCCAAGCAGGCAACGAAAGGATAAGTCTCCATAAGTCTAGCGCGAAAGAATACAGACGACTGACAACCACATCTCTCTCTATCTCTCTATACGTGTATGCAGCAGGTGTCCAAAAGAGGGTCTTGTAAAAACCTGTACATACCCTCCATTTCTCACTGTGCGCGTCCCTCTAATCTATAAAATCGGACGACACACGCTGACAAATATTGATGTGCTTTCGTGGCTTCCATTGGAAAAACACTGCTACGGATCTCGTTTGACCAGACTCTTTCTGTCGGTCCCCGACCCTCCACTCCCCTCTGACTTGCTCAAGGGCTTAGTGCGCGTACATCCAGACTCACACACACGTCCAAAGCCTCCCTGCATTGATAGAGACTACACACGCGGCTTTAACCAAGGTCCTCAGACGTCGATGGCCAAGTCGATATCCTTGTCAATCTTGTCGATCTTCGTCTTGACGTGCCAGACATTCACCTATACCCACATAGCGTTTCAGGTTAGTCAATTCGAGCGTGGTCGTGCGAATACCTTGGTGCAGTTGTCGGCCAGCGGCTCCAAATCGGCAAGGGGGATGCCAAACTGACCGAGAAAGTCGCTTTCAAGCTGGCCGTGCTTGCTTCGCATGTCAAACAGGGGCGGGTCGGCCGAGGCATTCTCGGGGAGGAATAGTCTGGTGTGGATGCCAAAGCCCCCCATGTCGATCGGAAAGGCACGTCCGGTGGACTGCACGCAACACAAGGGACAGAGTCATGCACATGGACTCGTGCCGAGACGCGTTCGCGTGAGTGGGTGTGTTTCTACGCACATTCCACGCCTGATAGGAGGCAATGTGGCCGGTGGTCTCGTTCAGAATGCATCGCTCGACGTAACGGCCGGCGGTGAAGGCAACGGGCCAGACACCAATCGACTTGACGCGCCGCAGCTCGTCGAAGAGGGCAAGACTGTAGGCATTGTCGTCATCAGCAAAGTAAACGACACCCTCCTGCGTGACAGCACAGATACACAGGGACACAGCAGCAAATGCAGCGCCCCAACGTGCCCCCACTTCGCTCACTTGGTATGCCTTTTTGAGCGCCTCGTCCTCCTCGTTTGCGATCATGTTCTTGAGATGGAGGATTGCTCGATTCCTCTGCTGTGACCCTCTGACCTTCATGCGCTTCTTGGCCCTGGACGGCGCAAACAGGTGCGTGTAGTGCTGGACTCTGCTCTCGTTGAGCCACCGATCCACTTTGGGAGACTGCTTGACGTTGTCCTCCACCTAACAAACACATCAATGCGACATACACGATACACAAAGCCACTGTGCGCTTCCGCCATTCCTTGTGACCGACCAGGATCCAATGCAAGTTGTCGATGTGGGACAGCGTGTTCATGAGCCGCACCAAATCGACTCGCTGCGTGTAGCGCTGTTTTGAGGGAGTGATGACGAAAACCCACCGTACGTGCGGGTGCCAGTAAGGAGTGGGAGAGAGGGACGGGGAAGACGAGTAGACGGGATGAAGCGAAGGCCGAGCAGCGGACCGCGGCAAGGCCAGAAATTCCTCGTGGCTGTCACTCTCGAAGGTCTTCGGCACTGGGATTGTGAGACCGGCTAGACCGCCCGTCAAGGGCTGCTGGTGGCTGCGCAGGACAAGCACCACCATCGAGAAGGGCGCCAGTAAGGCCAGGAGGCCCGCCATCAGAAGAGCGGCGACGGCGAGCATCGTGGTCATTCTCCCAGCCAAAGAAGGGCCAGGTGGATGGGAAGCCTTCGCTCGATAAACAGTCACCGAGGCAGAAGGAGGGGGGGACGCTTTGACATGAAAATATGGGGCATTCATGATGAAGATAACACCAGCCCAACGGCGCATGCATTTACGCATCCACAGATTTACATAAAGCGCGCGTATCCTCTTTTGGTCCTTTTGATTTGGTATCCCTTGCTTCTTTTCTGTCGCGTCGCCTGCCCCTCATGCAGTGCCGACTTCTCTCGCTCACTTTTCTGTTCTTCGCCCTGGTCGGGCTTGCCGTCGCAGCAGACGAATGGGAAGAGCAGGACCCGACAAAGGAACCGAAGGATGACGGCGCTGACAAGGGTGACGGCGCTGACAAGGGTGACGGCCTGAAAATCGGTGGTCACGGCCTTCTTGAGGCCATCCTCGAGGTGCTCAAAAAACTCATCGGGCTGAAAGGCCACACAGTGCCCATGGCGGTGGTGGAAGACGTCGCCACGACGCTGAGCGAGGAAGGTGCAACGACCGAAGGTGCGAACACCAGTGACAGAAAGACGACGAAAATGGGCCCTGTCTGTACGGAACCTTGGTGTGCATGTGGGTGTGTCTGTCCGGGTGGTTCCTTTTCCAAGCAGACTGCGCAGGTAAGCAGGACATGGCACACATCAGAGCTAGCGTACTCGTCGTCGTTGTGTTGCTCTGTCTGCAGATGTCACTCCGTCCCTTGCCGGCTTCCAGCTGGTGGACGTCAAGAGAGGGCAGTCCGAGGGCAGCGCCAAGGTGATAGAA